AAGGCTGCTAGTTGCCTACCCCAAGCATCTTTGCTTATCTTACCACTACTAGAGGTGATGTGGGCTTACTTGGACCTATCTAAGCAGAAACCATTGGACGGGATCTCGGCCCAGCAGGAAGGCATTGCCTTTAACCTTCCCTTTACTCCCACGTCCAGTTCTATCTCATTCTGAAGCAGCTCATTTATTAATGGCTAGCAGATAGCTGCTCGTTAACTGTCCTTTGGGCCTGTTAATAATACCTACTGGACCTTCATGGAACCTTCTAGCATAGTTCACGGGATCATCTAGATGGGTATTCTCTTGGCTGATCAGCTCTTTACTTGACAGAGGGGGCCACAGTGGAATGGGGGCTCTGCAGAGCCTCAAGCTAGGGTAGGGCTTTCTTTTCCTGGGGCTGCCTGGAGTCACTGCAGACCTGCCCCTCGAGGACATCAGAGATACGGTGTTTCCCAGTGGCTCTATTCCTTGTACCCCGTTCCCTTTGTTTAAGGAATTACAAATGCAGGTCACTCCATGATGCTTTCCTGTCCCCATGCATTCTGTGATATGGCAAAGTTATTTCTCTTAATAATCAAAACCCCTGAGATCACTGACTGCTGGAATGTCTATCTCCCTTCTTGGAGGATTACCTAGTTCATCCTAAACAGGTTCCTACCCTTGGTGCTCAAAAGCTGTGGACCTATCTGTGATTTGTCCTGTCCAGTCATGTGATCCTGTTTTTTGCACCTGCAGGCAGGTTGCCTGCCTGTCCCTTCCTGTCTGAGACAACCCCCCCCCCCTCAGCCCTCAGTTTGCAGCTGTCTGCCCCGATCCTGGAATCTCTGTACCTCAGTATGGAAATTCACGTGGGCAGATGTTTTTGGCAAACCACTGGGCTGTGGCTAACCTGGAGGGTGGGGTGAGTGCACGTGTGTGAGGTTCCTTTCCTCCCCAGACCATCTGGGCTCTTTGGTGGAGGAAGCTATAGATGTATTTATAGTGTCAATGACTAATGGAAGTATGGTAATAAATAATGGTGGCCAAGAGTTTTGGAAGCATGCCATCCTTGGAATCAAATTCCTCCCCAGCTGCATCTGGGGTCAGGAGGCTTCTACTGCATGCCAGATATAAGCCCCTGGTTAGAGTTGAGAGGCTCCTCCTACCACAGAGAAGGAAACAGAGGCTTAGAGAAGAGCAGGGACTTGATCCAAACCCCCTAGCTCTATGCATCTTGCTGGATTTCTTCCAGAGTCTGGGCAAATTGAAGTCACTCTCAGAGCTGGACAGTGGGAAAGCTTGTGGCTTCAGAAAGAGCTCCGGGCAGCCCTTCTAGACACTGGGCTCCTGGTACTGCGAGCACTTGCTGATCAAGGGCATGGCAGGGCCTCCTAGTCCATGGAGACAGAGACAAGTGCTCTCTGAAGCCTACTCTGGGAATGCACCTTCAGAACATGTTCTGGGGTCCACAGAAGCTCCCAACCCTTCGGAGGTATCCTGGGGAGCTGTCCAGAGGAGGCAGAGAACTCCCTGTAAGACAGGAAAGTAAGTCCTTGTTAAGTCAGGAAAGCTATTTTAAGTCCCTATCTGCCGTATGTCTGTCTGTCTATCTATCATCTATCTGTCTATTGATGAGTGATTGGCTGGTTTGTGGTGCTGGGAATGGAATTATACAAGCGTTATACAAGCTAGGCAAACACTCTACCCTTGAACCTCACTCCCATCTCCAAGTCTCACTCAAAAAGTGAAATAAAGCATACCCGTGTGATGTTTATAATGGTTTCAGTGTATGTGTTGTGTATACATGGGGGTACATGTGTAGATATATTGGTTTGTATATACATGACAATGTGCTTCTGTATGTTTTTGTGGGTATTCATTTTCTGTATGCATTGTGGGCTGGCTTGTAAGAACAAATACATGTGTTTGTGTATGTTATTATAGGAATGCATGTGTATGTTTACACACATATATGTCTGTGCTAGTAAAGAACAGCCCAGACTCTGGCATCATGTTAGATCTGGTTTTGTTCTCTTTTAAGGGAGCAGGGTCACAGTGCAGTGACAAGTCACCTGTGCTGGTGGGTCCAGCCTCCGGTCATCTTTCTGCCTCAACTTCCTTCCTGCTGAGTTCTTCATCTGGGGCCGGCAACCAGTGGGTTGCTGTCTAAAGATGACCAACAAAGCAATGTATGCTCCTTGTAAAACAAACTAGAAAGCCTCAGGCACACAGAGAAGATAAAAATTGCCCTTTGTCCACAGAGCAAGAGTCTTGGCTGTTGCTTAATAGAATTTTCCTCTCCGAGGTGCTGCAACGACTTGTGGGTCAGAAGGGAAGGCATTGTGAATGGCGCCATTACCCAGGCCTTTGCTCTTTGACCCCATGATCAAGTCTTAGAGTTCCAAGGCTTCTCTTTCACCGTGTTTCTGCTGTTGTTGAATTCTTCAGGAGTCATGAAGTCCTCGGGTGACTAGTCTTGCTCAAGCTGTGGAGACAGACGCACAGAGCTGGGTCTAAACCCGAGGGTTGCTTCCCTTTGCTCACTCAGCCATCCAGTCTCTCTAAGCATCTCTAAAATGGGATAAAGACGACAGCCACCTTCAAGGACGGTTGTTTGGGTGGGAATGGTACCTGCTTTTCTTTTTCTCTGCCTGCTTTGGACCACCATCTCCATCCCCATGCCACCCCTCCCTGCCTGCCACCTTCTACTTCCTGTTCTACATTGCAGAGGGCTCCCTTGGCTGTGGCTGTCATAGAGATTTGGTCAAATGAGCGGAAGGCTGGAGAGTGGAGACTGGGGAAACCAGGGAGTTTCTTCTCATCTTCCTATGCTTCCAGTGATGTCAGCTCAGGCAATGGTGGCAGCTCTGCTCTGGCTCCAGTTCCTGCTGGTGGCTTCAGATCACTGGCTGAGGTCTATCTGTCTACGTTATTCTGTTGTCCTCTCCTGTCCAGGCCTAGTGGTGGTAGCAGTCCCAGTCCCAGCTGGGCTCCTCAACAATTCAAAGTTCCGAAGCCAGTTTTCTACATTAAGTTCCCTGTCTCGAAAGGCCTGGGGCAGTTGTGGTTTTATGCTAAGGCCGTATGCAATATAGAAATGACAAGCAGGGCCACGTCGGGCCGTGCTTAGATGATTTCTCAGAGCACTGTGGTCTGCAGCCATGGCCCCTTATGAGCCTGTGACGGTTTTACCCGTTAAATCAAGGATTTCATAAGCCCTACCTTCTTCCTCTTGACCCAGTTGGCTTTTTTCCATTTTGTGGTAGCATGGCCCAGGAGTAAGGGGGTGGGCTCTGAAGTAAGAGAGGCAGCTCTGGTTTGAATCTCAGACTCATCCTTACTCGCTGGGTGACCTCGAGCCACATGTGGGCTTGGTGTAGCTCAGTGGCAGAGCATCTGCCTAGAATGTACAGAGTCCTAGTGTCCATCCCAGCACAGAGACACAAAAGCAAACAAACAGCTCTAGCTGTAGCATCCATAGCTAGGGGATAAGGATGGCTGATTAATGGAGATGATGTGTGCTCAGTGTTTGATGTATATAAGCGATCACATTTATTGAATATTATGATTAAATTACCACCATAGCCCCTTCTTTCAAGAACACAGGGGTCTTTTTACTTGGATTATTTGTGAAAATGTATTACTGTGACTGGCGAAATAAAAAAACTGAACGGCCAATAGCTAGGCAGAAGAGATAGGTGGAATTTTCCGGGAGACAGAGGAAGAGGCAAAGGAATTGAGCTGGACACATAGAATTGGATAGAGGTAAAAGCCACACGGTAGAACATAGATTAACAGAGGCAGGTTAATTTAAGTTATAAGAGCTAGTGGGACAAGCCTAAGCTAAGGCCAAGTTTTCATAATTAGTAAGAAGTCTCCACGTCATTATTTGGAAACTGGATGGTGGGACAAAGACTCATATAGATTTGGGTCACTGGACATAAAAATGACTCACTCTTGTTCTTCCCAATATCTTCCTATATGAAGAGCTCAGGTGGGTGAGTTTTCCCAGCTGCCAAGAATCATGGGGGGGGGGGTGACATTGGCCTCAGAGCATGCGTGGATTGAGATCACCCTACAAAAGATGGGAACTTATCCTTGATGCACAGCGGAGCCTAGAGTGGTGTCTGACCGGCGGAGCCAAGCCTAGAGGAGGAGAGTCACTCCTAGTAGGAGGGCCTGGCCTGGAGCGTGTGGAACTGAGGCTGACGAATACATGTGCAGCTGGAAATCTGTTCCTTCCCTGCACGACACTTAGAAGTAGCTTTTACAAACCCTGCTCCTTCTTTCCTCCCTGTAGGCCCCTAAGCTTGCTTTGCCTGCAACGTCTTTTCATATCTTGTCGACCCAGAAAATTTCCACATCTCCTTCAAGACCCAGCTGAAATGATCATCTTGTGACTTCTTTGGTGACATCCCCGGGCATAATTAAACACATCCCTCCTGTGTTTTCAAGCGTGTGCGCTTCTGCCGTGGCACTTTCACTTCTGCATACCCTTAATAACTCTCACATGGCACCTGGCACGTTCCCACAACAGCAGTAAGCACAGTCTCGGTCGGTCGGGACTATTGGTAGCTGTTTAGAGCTCTCACCGAGTGGCAGATGCTTGGTGTACCCTTCCCACGGGGACCCTCATCGCTCCTCTAGGAAGTGTTTGCATTTTATAGATGAGGCCCCACACCGGTGCTCAGATCTACTGCACCCTGGTCCCACTTTCTCGTTTTCCCTGTGAATCCCCAGAGTAAAAATACGAGATCTGGTTATACCGTCTCTGTACCCAGATACGGACAGGGTGACTGATACCAAGCGCTCACGGTCACCTAAATGCCGCACGAAATAAAAGAGCATTCCATAGCACTGATGTGCGGAGGTTCGTTAAACCATTTCCCACGTGTTGCTCTAGTCCCGGATATTCTCTCTTTCTTGGACTGGATTATTTCCTTTGGGTCAGTTCCTGGGAGTGGAGCGACTGGATCCGAGGATGTGGCGCTTCCTCGCTCCGCCACGTCATCTTCCGCCTTGCGGAGCCCGGCGGAGCGAAAGAGCTAAGCGATCCCGGCAGCACTGAAAGCCTGGTTCTCACCTCGACCTTGACGCGGTTGTCCTGCAGGTGCCTCGGAGCGCCCGGGGGCCGCGCTGCGCCCCGCACCGCAGCATTTAGATAGTGATCGGGGCCGCGGGATCCGCACGCTCCCGCCACCGCTGCGCTCCCCCTCCTACCCGCCACCCCTGCAGCTGCCTCGTTGGCAGCTGGATTAGGCCTGGGGGCGGGGACCAGACCGGGCGTCCTCGCTGGCGGTCGCGAAGCTCAGCTTCCTTATTTGGAGGGACGGGAGGTGGGGAGCTAGAGCGGTGGAGACGCCGCGGAGGAAAATATAGGGCAGAGGGAGGCGAGGAGAGCATCCCCCCCCCGGGGGCAGGGGTGCTCCCCCGGGAGGGGACAGGTGTGTGTGTGTGTGTGTGCATTGCAGAGGAAGGTGAGGAGGAGGAGAGCATCCCTTCAGGGACAGGGTGTGTGTGTGCAGGGCAGAGGGAGGCAAGAAGAGCATCCCCTTGGGGATGTGTGCGTGGTCTCCTTCTGAGCCATTCCAGGGCTGGAACATGATAGGTGTGTGTGTGTGTGTGTGTGTGTGTGTGTGTGTGTGTGTGTGTGTGTGTGTGTGTGTGTGGTCCCCTACTGCGCCAAGCCAGGCCTGGAACGTTGCAGCTCTCCCTCCACCCTCCTACAGGGACCCCCAAATCACTGCAGGGAGGGGATAGTGCTGGAATGCCTCCAGCTGAACAGGGCTGCTCCTGTGGCCTGACTGAGTGACAGAAGATGCAAGAATACTGGCTGCTTGTGACCTCCACGCATGGACCTCCTCTGGCAGTCCTTGCATTCCACTTTCCTCAATCTACTCTGGGTGTTTCCTCTCCGTGTGTTGTAAATCCCCCAAAGCCAAATATACCCGCAAAAGCAGGGGACACCCACGTAAATGATTAGCAAGGCCCCACTGAAGCGAAGTTGAAGCAAAGCTGACCTAAGGCAAAGGCATCTCTGAAGGGTGGCTAACCAGCCGACCGTATTTTTCTTAAATGTACATTGGGGTTTTACCTGCATGTCTGTCTGTCTGAGGATGCCAGATTTCCTGGAGGAGCCATATGGGTGCCGGGAATTCAACTCGGGCCCTTTGGAAAAGCGGCCAGAGTGGCCAGTGCTCTTAACCGCTGAGCTATCTCTCCAGTCCCACTGACCATAATTTTTAACGTATGAATTAGGGTTGTCAGATAAAAATCCCAGGATGCCCAGTTAAATTTGACTTTCAGACAGGCAATGAATAATGTTTTACTGTAAATTTATTGCATGAAATATTTGATAAAAGAATGTCTGAGATATTACAGAGCAGACAATAAAAATTATTTATTGTCTAAAATACAAATTGAACCAGGCACCCAGTGTTTTTACTTGCTAAATCTGTCAATGCTAATTCCTTTCTTCCTTGCATTTAAACTCCTGGAATTCCATATCCTCTCCTCTCCAGCCCCTCCCCCCAACCAGTTTCCCTCCTTTTGCTGTTTGGTGGAGACTTGGTTTCTCTGAGACAGTCTATTTTTTAATTTCCCTCATCCTCTGGGTTTTATTTACTTTAGCTAACTCACCCTGGGTCTCAATTTAAAAGTCTTTGATGCTACTGGGGTTGAGGCAGTGTAAGCTTTAGGGGCATTTCTTAAGGACATAGGAAGGAAATTAAACCTAAGAAAATATGCTTCCCGCCCCCCCCATTTCTCTCTAAGGAAAGTCTGTGAGTTGAGCTCAGTTTGTGTCACGGGAGCAGGAACAGCTGAATTAAGGCCCCACAGCTCATTTCTCAAGCCTCCACCAGCTGCAGTTCCAGCCAGTAAATGGTTCTTCTCTCCTTCACGGGTGTTTTCTCAGGGTTTCCATCCTCAGCTGAACTCCGTGCAAAGAGGCCTCCAACCGGTAGGCTCAGTGGGCCCCCGAGGGATCTGAGAAATCAGCAAGAGCAGGGCTTCCCACACAGTGAGGCACTTGGACAGCTTTGAGCAGTCCGCAGCTCAGGCTGACCCGGTCTCACAGTGTAAGCTCATGGAAAGTGGGACCTAGAAGTTGTGGTTAGAAAACAAACAAATCAAAAGCAACACACCCCTGATCCTCCCCCAGATGACTCTGGCCTGAGACCCAGGAAAACCGGAGCAGGACTTCTTGGCGGCTGCTGAGAGGTGGCAGCTGAGCACCCAACTGCCTCTGACTGCTAGGGGTGACACCAGGGGTGACACAGAGTGTGTGACCCCTCTCTGTTTCTTCCCTGCAGTGCCTTTCCCCCTTCACTCTACCCCAGCAGGACGAGCTCCATAAATCACTCTTTGTCCTCTTCCCTGTCCTCTTCTCCATTCCTTGTTGGGGTTTCCGAGGACACCCCCCCCATCACATACTCTACTTGACACCCTGATTTTTGGGCCGGCAGTGGAGATACCCTAGTTTGATGGGTTACTCTGACTCATATGCTGCTTCCTGGGTTACCACATGATTTCTTGATGTAAAGGCTGCCAGGAACGGCAGACGACCCCAGTGTTTGGATTTCTGAGGCTTAGACATTCTAAGTCATCGTGGTATGAAGTCTTATGTTAGTGTTTCCAAGCCTGGCTTCTTCAACTTTGCATCACGGTTACTCCTCTCAAAAAAAAAAAAAAAAAAAAAGAAAAGAAAAAGAAAGAAAGAAAGAAAAAAAAGAAAGAAGGAAGGAAGAGAAAGAAAGAAAGAGAAGATATTTAGATATTTTTTTGGTATGCAGCCCAGCCAACTTGATCTCCAACCAGGTGGAAGGAAGGTCCTAGAGGGAGATGAGGCCCTGGGTGTACTTGGTGGGTACATTATGCCGTGACATTGGTGAATAAAGCCCGGGGAATCAGCAAGGGACATTCATGCTTACCGTAAGGCTGGTTTTCTTGGAGCAGGGTTTGCCTCTGTGGACATGCTCTTGTTTTAAGGTGCAGATCTACATCCAGGGTGGAGGGCACCCACTGGGTATCCAGGGTGGAGGGCACCCACTGGGGTATCCAGGGTGGAGGGCACCCACTGGGGTATCCAGGGTGGAGGGTACCCAATGGGGCATGCAGGGTGGAGGAGGGCACCTACTGGGGTATGCAGGGTGACGGAGGGCACCCACTGGGGTATCCAGGGTGGAGGGCACCCACTGGGGCATGCAGGGTGGAGGAGGGCACCTACTGGGGTATTCAGGGTGACGGAGGGCACCCACTGGGTATGCAGGGTGGAGGGCACCCACTGGGTATGCAGGGTGGAGGGCACCCACTGGGTATGCAGGGTGGAGTGTACCCACTGGGGTATCCAGATTCTCATGTCCCAGGACAAACCGAAACCAAAACCAAGCAAGCAGTAGCAACAGAACCTCACCAGAACACATAGTCAATAGAAACAACTGTTTACTAAGAAAGAGAAAGGCACTCCCCAGAATGTGCTCCAAAGCGCTGGGCCAGGAGTTTCAGGCCCCTTTACAAGTCATTTCCATAGCACCTGCCTTCTCCCACATTTGTGTATGGCTGGGCTTCTTTGTTGTTGTGAGTAGCCCAGGGGGGGAAAAGTTTCTAGCCCTTTTTGGCAACAGGCTTTCTTTCGCATGTTCATCCTCACACCTCTCTCTCCATTCCTTTACCTTCCCGCCATACTGCTTCCGTTCTCAGCGCTCATTGGCGGCATCGAACCAGCCCCGCTTCCTCTCTGCTTCTCTCCTCTCTGTCTTGGGGGTTCCATGAATTTCCAAAAGCCACAGTTACCTGTGAGAGTCTTGGCAAGCATCAGGATGCTTTTGGTAGCAAGAGAAACTTGACTTGGGCCGTGGTACCCCTTCCCCTCAGTTCTCTCATCACTCCACCTCTGTAGACCCAATTTGTTTTCAGCTGGGTTCCCCTGGGGTTCTGTAGTGGAGTTTTCTCCAGTCCTGCCCAGCCCCACGGACCCCACAACCGCTTATAAAATAATCACTCAGAAGCTCATATTAATCAAACTGCTCGGCCATTAGCTCAGGCCTACCAATGTCTAGCTCTTACACTTAAGTTCAGCCCATTTCTATTCATCTATACCTTGCCACGTGGCTCGTGGTTTACCGGTAACTTACATCTTGCTACTCATCGCTGTGGTTGGCAGCATCTCCTGACTCAGCCTTATTCCACCCAGCATTCTCCTCTCTCCTTGTCCCGCCTACACTGTCATTCCTGCCTGGCTACTGGCCAATCAGCGTTTTATTTATCAATCAGTCATAGCAACATATATCCACAGCATACAGGACATCCCACAGCAGGGTTCTAAGTCTTACAGCCTCCAGATTGCATCTGTGTTCCTACTACCAGGATAACTGAATTCCCTCAGGCCTACTCACTGTGGTGTTCCAGGAAAATTTCACTCATGACTTGACTTAAATTTAGCTTGTATTAGCCACTGGGGCAAGTGGTCTAGAATTTACTGAGTCTGGCTGGGATGGGGTCAGACATACGATGTCTGCCAAATAGTTGGGGCAGAGTGAGAAGATATTTGAGAACAGTTCCAAGTCTACGAAGGGGTGTCATGCAGAGATAGGGGTCAGGTAGGAGAGCAGAGGGCCCAAAGGAAGGAGCCATGCATCCTCAGTTGATTCTCAGACAATGCTCTCTTACAGATGAGGTTTTTACAACCGTGTCCTCTGAGGTACTTAGCTGTTTGTGCCAGTTGTTTTTTAAATTTTAAAAATTTTTTTCTACTGTAGCAGGAGTTGTCTCCATTCTTGGCTGAGTTCCAGAATGGATCCTGGAAAGAGGCCTTGTGCGCCCGTGATTTATTAAGGAAGTGCTGGGGGGGGGGTGCGGGGGGTGGTGGTGGATGAAGGAAGCAGTTCAGGGCAGCAAGGACACTAAGCTAAGAGCAAGCTCAGGCAAAGTCCCCAGAGGATGAATTCAGCATGGTCTCAGGAGGCGGGAGAGACACCTTTGTAAGGGAGCTACATGGTGAAGCCCTTACCTAAGCCATTGGCGAAGGTTCTCAGGCCTGGGGGGAGAAGGTAAATTCTAAGCACCGTGAGCTCACAGTATTAGTTACCTTTCTCTTTACCATGACCAAATATCTTCCCCGAAGTGATGTGAGGGAGGGGGGGCTTGTTTTGGTTGACAGTTCAGAGGAAGATAGTCCTCAGGGAGGGGAAGGCAGAGAGGTGGGAGCTGCCAACCAGGAAGTAGAGAAGAGAAATACCAGGACTCGGCACAGCTGTATTCTTTTTCTCTCTTGATTTAGTCTGAGACCCCAGCCTGAGGGATGCACTGTCCACGTTTAGGGTGGATCTTCCTTTCTTAGTGAACCAGGTCTGGAAACGCTCAAATGTACCCCTCATTAGTGGGTGTTTCTTTCTTAGTTAGTTCACTTTTGTTTTTCAAATGTTTATTTTTATTCAGGTGTATGTGTGTCCAGATGTTGAGGTGTGTCAGATCCCCTGGTTCTGGAGTTAAAGGTGGTTGAAAGCTGCTTGAACTGGGTGCTGGGAACTGAATTTGAGTCCTCTACGAGACCAGCAATCTCTCTTAACCACTGACTGGTCTCAGACCCAGGCCTAGGTGTTTCTTAACCCAATCAAGTTGTCAATCAAATTACCCGACATACTGTCCCCTCCCAAAAGGAGACTCCAGCAGTCTCAGGAAAGGGCCTCGGCCACACACTGCTGGAAGAGGAGTTCTCTGGACCCAGGAGGGGCTGGGGACACACCAATGGTGCAGGAGGAGCCAAAGTGCAGAATGGGTCACAACACTGTCTGCTCCGGGCCATTTCTGGCATCAGCCCTCCTCCAGGAAGCCGGGTGTCCCACATTCCTGCTTCACCCTGAGATATTGTCTGCTTGGGCAGTGCTGGGTCGAACTGCCCAGCACCTTCAGCTTCTGAATTATTTGTCAACATTTCAATCTCAGGTGTTTTTCACATAAAAATCCAGTTCTCTGACCCCTCTGGGGTAAAAACAACAACTAGGATGTAATCCTAGGCCCACATGTCTTGTGGTAGATGCCACACAGTCTGGCCAAGCCCAACGACTTGGGCAAGAGTGCCACAGACCCCATCACTCTCTCTCAAGCCCTAAGTACGTGGGCTACAATTTTCCTTGTAGGAGAGCAAAGAGGAAAGAGAAATGTTTTGTTCCCATTTCTCTAAGGTGAAGGGAAAAAACTCTGCAATCAGGGAGGTTAATACATGTATCAAACATGCCTGGGTCTAATGCATACAGCTCAGGGTGCCGTTAGTGGGTGTTCTGTGTGCCTGTAGGACCCTGCGGATGTGAGTTGTGTGTCGTATCAGACCTCAGACCTCAGGCTTTCCACCCTGATCCAGATGTGGGGCCTCCCTCCTCTACCCCATTTTGTTAAAAGCAGCTGTTTTCCCCTTCCAGCT